ATGTTGGTTTTCAAATATCTTACAACATCCAAGTGCTAAAAATGAAACTGCTCTCATTATAATTGGAAAACAAGGAACAGGTAAGAACACATTCTTTACAGATATTTTGTGCAAACTATTAGAGGGCTATTCGAATCCGAATATGACAAACTTAGAAAACATCTGTGGCAAGTTTAACTCCTCAATAGAGAATATGAAACTTATAGTTTGCAATGAACTTCAAAGTATAGATACAACAAAAGTTTTGAACTCAGATGCTTTGAAGAGTCTTATAACAGACAAAGTTGGAGTTGTTGAAAGAAAGTATAAAGACCAAAGAGTTTGTGAAAATGTTGCAAACTTCATTATGGTTTCAAACAATGCTGTTCCGATGAAGTTAGAAAGTTCTGACAGAAGATATGTAGTTGTCAGAACGTCAGATTCTCATATGCAAGATACAGAATATTTTGACGACTTAGCAGAAACTTTGACATCTGACTTTTACAACCACTTGTTCTCATATTTCATGACATTAGATATTTCTAAGTTCAATCCAAGACAAATTCCACATACCGAAGAGAGACAAACATTGTTAGAAGCAAACAAGAGTGTATATGAACTGTTCATAGAAGAAAGCGACTTTGAGTGTTTAGATGAAAAGTCTTTATATGATGAATATAAACAATATTGTCAAGAATATGGTTATATGGCAGCGTCTAAACGAACATTCTTGGCAAATGTCAAAAGTCTTTTAGATGTTCAGAATGGTGTATATACAAAGAAAATTTTTTCTGAGTAAATTTTAAAAAAAATATTTTTTTATCCGATAGAAAAGATGACGAAATATATTTTAGTAAACAAGTACATGTCAGGACTTAAAGAAGAACTAGACCCATTCACATATTTGAATGTTTACTTCTACCATTTTGAAAAGTCTTCATTCAGCAAAGTTTGGAACATCGAACCAGTTAAGTTTGCTGTTGTGACTAAAAATGGTGCGAAATTTGAAGACTTAGACATAGAAGGTTTGTTAACAGTCAAAGAAAGTTTTGACAGAAGGTTCTCAAACCTTAAAGAAGGCAAAGCATACAAACTTGTTATACCTTATGAACCAAAGAAGACAGACGACTATGAATATTATGAGTCTAAAGTTGTAGAAGTTCAAGGTAAATTGGGTAAAAAGATTTTAGAGTCTAAGCCAGTGTTTACTCCTAAAGAGAAGAGAACATTGACATTGACCCAGAAATGTTCTAAAAATAAAATTTTATTTTTACATGTCAAATTTCTTTTCTCTGGAACTGGTTCAGGTTCTTTCTTCTCTTCTCCTTTTTTCTCTTTCTTTTCTTTCTTCTTCTTCTCTGGTGGAGATATGTCAAATTTCTCAGAACCATATCTATGTAAAAGTTCTTTGTCCTTTAATAGCTCATCTATTCTGTTTTCTATTTCATCTTCAAGAACAGCGCATGTGTCTTCTTTGCATTCTAAGAACTTTTGTTGGACTTCATCTTTCCAATCGGCGTCATCTCTGTCAACAAGTCTGTCATTGACAAATTTTAAGACTGCTCTTTGTAATGTTTTATGGTTCTTGTCATATTCCCAGAAACAGAACTTTAGAACAAATTCACCTTTCTTGTTTACACTATGTAAGATTTTATGGTCGACAGATGTTTTGCTGTCAAAAAGTTTGTCTCAAATATAGATAGCGAAATCGCTAGACATTTTCTAAAAGATAAAAATTTTAATTTTTCTAAAAATATGTTAGAAAAAAGTTTGCTGACATTGACAAGAAATTTGAGAATGTTTTAAACAAGAACAAGAGGAAGTTAGAAAATGCTCAGATAAAGCCTATACATGACAAGTTCTTATTTGCTCAGAATGGTATAACAGGTCTAATTGCACCACCTGGGTCGGGTAAGACTTTCACTTATCTTAAAATGGCTGCACAACAACAAGAACTAGATGAGAAGAACCCATTCTATGAGTTAGTTGTTATTTGTTCGACTTCTGGTCAATTTGACCAAACCGTCAATTCGTTCAAAGATATTATAAAGAAGTCTAAGTTAGTATGTATAAAGGATACTGAGTTGTTAGATTGGATAAAGAAGTACCAAAGAAGAGTTTTGAAGTATAATGCTATAAATGAGTATCTAAATTCTAAGTTTAAAGAACCTAATGAGGAAATGCAGAGAATATTAGACAAATACCATTTCAGAAACAAACAGAAAGAGATAGAATACATTTCGAAGAAATTGCAATCTTACGATTGGAAGACTTACCCTCATAGGTGTCTTCTTATCTTAGATGATTTCGCCTCTCATCCTTTGTTAAAGAATAGAGAACAAGACATGTGTCGAATTCTTAAGAAACTTAGGCACTTTAACATTTCAGTCGTAATATGTGTACAGACAGCAAAGAGTTTAAGTAAGGATGTTAAAAGAATACTTACTGACATAATACTTTTCCCCGGATTGTCCGAAGACGATTTCATGGAACTTATGAAAGAGTCCATGGCAGGTAAGTTTGACAGACATGAACTCTGGGAGAAGTATAAAGTCATACAAGACCCTCATACTTCTTTCAGAATTCATATCTACGCAAACAAAGTTCAAATTGTAAATGGTCAAGCTTGAAAAATAAAGAGTTCATTTACCCTACTTGTTTGAAGTTGTCAAAATACTCTGTTATTTTTTCTTTCAGTAGCGGTAAGTCTTCTTTGAAGGTAAGTATTGTACAACCTTTAATATCATAGTGTGTTTGAGGTAACGTATCTTGAACTATTTGTTTCACATCTTCATTTGGGGTCATTGAAATCGGTAAGTTTTCGCGATAGAACCAATTTCTGTCAGATTTGTAAATCTTAGCAAGGTCGTAAAAGCTTTTGTTGTTTCTTCTGACTAAATGCAACATAACCATATCTCTGTCTTCCATATCTTCAGTATAAATCATATACTTATAGTTCTTTTCCTTTCCTTTTGGTACTGAACGTGGTATTCTTTTCTGAATGCTTTTGTCTTTTGCTTCAATGACTTCATCTTTTGCTTGAAGTTTCTTTTCCATCTCTTCACGTTCTGCTTTATATAGTTCATCTAACATCATGAAAATATAACAAGCATAACGAGGTGAAGCCCACATTGATACAGCGTTTACTAAAAGTCTATGAATATAATAACCTTTCAAACCAGGTGCCAAATTCTTGCGATTTTCGTACGGAATCTCTTCTCTCGGTTTTCCTAGGGAAGCAATCATATGAGGAAATTCTTCTAAAAGTTCTTTTGTCTGTTGGTTTTCAAACCAATGATATGCTTGCTTTGTAGAACGAAGAGCATTCATTATACTTTGCATTTGGTACATATCGTCTTTGACCGAACGAATGAGACGTAACTGTTTGTTATACTGTATGTACTCGTATTCTTCATTTATAGCTTCATGGACTATAACTGTTGTTGTGTTCTCTGATGTTGACATTACTGTCTTTACATACAAAATAAAAATTTTTCTTAGAAAAAAATTCTAACTTTATTTTTCTAACTAATGAAATTCATTATTTTTGTGCTGAATTCAGCAAAAATAATTTTTAGGGTAGATGGTTAGATCTAACCCGATATCTACCCTCATTTCTACCCCAGTTATTTTATAAACGTTTCACATGATATACGTTATTTTTGGAATTTTGTGAAAACTCAACGGTTTGACACAAGCCATATGCCATTTTACTCAGAATTTTGTGCTGAATTCAATAAAAATATATTTTACGGTAGATGGTTAGATCTAACCCGATATCTAACCTCATTTCTACCCTCATGAATTTTCATGAATTTTATATATTAATGTTTTCGTTAAGCCACTTTGTGCCGTCAGTCAGTCAGTCAGTTTAGGAAAGACTTTAGAAAGTTGTTGGAAAATAAGTCCTGGGAAGAGTATTATAAGGCGTTTTGTGAAGAATATAGCAACAGTCCGAATTCCGGCGGTTGCTTTTTATACAAAATTCATGAGGGTAGAAATCGGGTTAGAAATCGGGTTAGATCTAACCATCTACCCTAAACATTATTTTTGCTGAATTCAATAAAAATAATGAGTTCATTTACTCACAATATTTTTGTACAAAACGACCCCAAACTTTTAACTTCTTTTCTGCAGCTTCTAATGCTATCTTAGCGAGTTCATATTCTCTAAATTCTCTCTTTAAATCTTCTTGTTCCCATTGGTCTAGTTCGTATGGAGAATCTCTATAACCATAAAATATCTCACGTTCATGTCCTAATTGTTTTTCATGCATTTTTCTAACTTCTTCTTCAAACAAATGTTTTGCATTCTCTACTGTATCTTCAAGTTCTTCTTCATCTAATTTCTTATGAACTTTCTTGTCTATGGAGTCCATAATATCTTTGACATAAAATGCATACTTTACAGAGCACCATTCAGCAACAAAATGAACGAGGTCAGGATGTATGTAAATACCTTTGAATTCATTTATAACACCCTTAGTAAGCTCATAAAATGCTTGTTTTGAGGTCGAGCCACTTTTGGCTCGACCGTATTCTTTCAACCAAAACTCAAGAATTTTCTGCATTTTAGCACTATTGAGAAATCTGTTTAAATGGTTTAACCTTCCCGCTTCTCTTGCCATCTTTGTTGCATTAATGTAACCATCCTTGTCTCTACGTAAGACTTCAATACCGTTATAAGTGCCTTTTGTGAATGTTTCGCCATTAGATTTGTTAGTGAATGTTTTTGCTTCGACTGACATTACTGTTCTTACATACAAAATAAAAAAATAAATAAAAATAAAACTAACTTTATTTTTTCTATCTTAAGGAAATTCATGAAAATTCATGAGGGTAGAAATGAGGTTAGATCTAACCATCTACCCTAAACATTATTTTTTGGTCCGGGAACAACTTTCTCTCAATTGGAGCTGTAGCATACTCTTTGCGTAAGCGGTTCAGACCTTCTTCGAAGTCTTGGTCTCTCTTCGATTGAGATTGGAATTGGAATTGCTAGGGTGGAGCTTGCTGGAACAACTAAGGGTTGGGGAAGTAAGGCATAGGCTGAGGAGGGTAGTTCGGGAAGCCTTGTGGTGGGTAGTAACCTTGAGGTGGAAATTGGTAGTAATTCGGAGGTACTTGCTGGAACTGAGGTTGCTGAGGAGACTGTTGTGGTTCTGCAGCTTTCGGTTCTTCTGGCTTTGGAAGGCATTCAGGAAGAGGAACGTCAGTCATCCGTTTGTGTCCTGTCGGAAGAAAAATTTTTTCCTGTCGGATGGAAGAACTTTTTCTGTCGGAAGGAAGAACTTTTTCTGTCGGAAGGAAAAACTTTTTCTGTCGGAAGGAAAAACTTTTTCTGAAGTTCGACCAAAAAGTTCTCAATTTTCGAAAATTTGAATGGTTTACGGACGGACAACTGGAAGAGTTCTTCCTGTCGGAAGGAAAAAATTTTCCCTTTGTCGGGAAAATATTTTCCTGTCGGATGGAAGAACTTGGAATGCAAGAAAGACTTGACGAGGCAATTTACCTCATTGAACTTAACGACTGCGTAAAAGACTTCCTCAGGCAGAATGTAAAAGGCAAGCTTGTTAACGGTTGGATAACGGGAAGGGCTGCCTTGAATCTCGAGATTTCGACTGGAATTCCAATTCAAATACCAGACGGGACAGCCTACGATGGCAAAAAGGACGCCAAAAGAGAAGCTCTTGTTAAGTTCCTAAACAAACGTCCTTGGATAAAAATACCAAACAAGGAGAACCCCCTACCCCATATGAAATTGGCAATTCAGTCTCTTCTCCACTTCTCTGGTCAACCATTCTTTATAACTACAGAAGGCGACATTCAGCCAGTTCAGTAAACATCTCATTTTAACTCACTTTTTTTTGTTTTTTGTGAAAGTGTCAAAAATAAATTGTTTTCATGAGTTTTCTACGATGTTAGAAAAATGTTATTTTCTAATATCTTCACATTCAATACTTTTTCAGCACTTTTCCGTAGTTATATATGAAAGACAATTCGAGATAAAAGTCATAGTACAATGGAATAATATGTTGCACACCATTTGTTGTGAACCAAACTTGAAAGTCAGAGAAACTGTTACTAGGTGGTTCGTAGAATTTAGAAGCAAAGTCATAAAGGTCCTTACCAATACATAGAAAACTATTGTTGCTTGAACTGAAACTTGCATGACACATAACATTTTGAGGGTCAAACACGTTTCTATAAACCATCAAATCTGCTGGTGGAAGTATAAATTTAAATGGACCATCTGGTGGTAATGGTTCGTTCTGGTTTAGTAACCGAAGAAATTGTGCCCAAGAACGTTTGTCTACTTCCCAAAATAAAAACTCTGTATCTCTTGGAGGGTTCATTTCAATCTTTTGAAATGAAACGGTAGAGTTCATCTTGTCATATTCTAGTTTCAGATAGTATGTTCTATTTAGTAAAGAGTCGTATTTTTCTTGAAATTCCCAATAATATTTGTTCATTTGAGTTTGAAAGTCATCTAGAGTTTTCTCAAGACTTTCGTCTGAACGAACTGTAAAGATTCTCATTTCGTCAAATTTGTCTATTAGACCATCAGGACCTTCATACTGCCCATGAAAATATACTGCGAACATAAATGCGTTAGTTCTATTTGAAAACAAAACTCTTCTAAATCCTATTGCCTTTGCATCTGAAGGACTTTGAAGCCAACGAATTGGATAGTCAAACCTGTATGCTCGGGATGAAATTTCTTCATCTGAAATAGTCCTACCAGCATTTGTAAAGATATAATCTAACGGTTTTGTATCTGCTACTTTTGTTCTTTGTTTTTCAACCTGAAGCATTTAATATATGTAAAAATATATTGTTTTAAAATGGTATGCCATATAGCTTCTTGAATTTGTTAAGAAGTATTTGAATGTATTTTCCATCTGTATCTCTAGTGTTTACATAAGCATAGCCCGCCTTAGTAAAATATACTTGTAATTTCCTATAGTTTACGCCGGTATAAAAGTAGAAAGAGTCTTGTTTCGCTTCGCTATAGTAGTAAAACTCAAACGTATGCTTGCCATAGTCTGTAATTTCAATTGTTTCATCTTCTAGTTCGTCGACAAATTCGAATACAATATCTCCAAATTTGCCTTTGTTCTTATTGTTTTCAGAACGAGTGACCCAACGTAAGTTTTCAAGTCTATTGTCGTTTCTTATATGGTTTATATGGTCTACAAAAGGTAAATTGTTAGGATTCAGTATAAAATGAGTTGCAATGACAACATGTTTAAGATAGTGTTTTCCACCCATCTTCATAATAGCATATCCGTCATTTCGCTCCCATTCGCTTAAAACTCTTTTTGTCTTTTTGTTTCTGACTTCAAATGACTCACAACAGTGAATTTCATATTTCTCATCTAACAAACAAGTTTCCCAACGGTCTTCTCCAACAAACTCAGCGTACATTTCAAATAAAATAAAAAATGTCACTTTTTTTGAAAAACGTTTTTACTTCATGCAATGTTTAACTATTTCACCATCTTCTTTAACACCCCAGTACTTACGCTTGGAGAGGACATTAACTTCGGAAAATACCTTATCTAGCTTAAAACAGCCCATCTTTTCACCGACTAAACCCATTTCAATGAGTTTGTTATAGTCTTCTTCGTTCGTCATGAGTGCGTCAATGTTCTCATAGTAAACCTTCACTTTCGATTTGACTTCGGAGAAGAATTTGTTGTAGTTGTCAAGTACTGCCTTTGCGAACTGAGGGTAAGACCAATGTTCGACAATAGGTTTTAATGTGGTTACTAAGCCACTTTGACCTTGAGTGAATTCGTACTTCAAAACAAAAGGAGAAAACCTTTCAACAAAGTGTCGATCGCTCACTCATAATGTTTACTCTTCATCTCTTGAGGTTTCTTAATGGAATATCCCCATGTCGAATTCATAAGCAATTTGAGTGTCATTGCAAGTTTGGGGTTTGAAGCTTTCCTAATATCATACAGTTGTTGTATGACTTTTCCAACTGTATAGTTCCTTCCCGGGAACTCACCATCTTCGTTTGGAATTCCAGTCGGAATATATTGGACAAACCTCATGTATGCAGCGTTAAGGTCGACATAGTATATCTTTTCATCTGAGTCGAACTTGTCGCAACCAATTGGTCCAGTTTGTGGAAATTCAAGTGAGTCTCTTATCTTCTGAGAAACTTCTCCTGTTATCTCATAAACATCGTCGAAGCAACCTGTTTCATATAAAACCTTCTGACCTAACTCAGATGCTCTCCAATACAATTTGACGTCAATTGGATGTCTCAATGGAAGTTTGTTTATAGCATCTTGAAGTTCTTGCAACCTCATTGGAAGTTCTTCTGGTTCAGGTTGGTATCCGAACATACCAACCCCTTGTGGAACTGTGTACTTCTTTTGTACTAGAACTTTGTCTGGAACAACTTTTGGTCTTGCTAACAATGAAAAGTTTGTTTCGTCTTTTGGTACAAAAGTTTCTGTCAGCTTGTCATCTGGAATTGGTTCCAACAAACCTTTCTCGAAAAGAATGTTTACAGCTCTGACAATGTTGCACTTACTTTTACCAAAGAATGGGTTTGTAAGACTTTCGTTCAACATGAAGTGGTTGTGGACAATTACAATCTTCAACCATGGTAAGTCTTTGTCAACAACATAGTCGTCATGTGAAGAACCTTTAGCTGTAGGTATGTTGACTCGGATATTGACATTTGCCAACGGTGCAATTTTTGCCAATTGACCTCTGAGAATGTACCTTGTCTTCACACATGACTCAAGATACTTCATCTTCTCATCTGTAACAAGACCAGAGTTCCTGAGACATATAAGAATGCAAGGTTCATTGACAATTGTTTCAATTGAATTGTAAATTCCATACCTTGTCAAGTCAATGTCAGACTTATTTATGAAGGGGAAGTATCCAGCATGTTGTCTGACTGCTTGAGGGTTAGGTTGGTACCATTCGAACTTGACACTTGCAATTCCTTCAATTGCATTCAAAATGTCTGAGTCGGAGTCAACCATTTGTTCTCTCTTTGTAGTCTTGAAAGCGTCAAGAAGTTTTGCAGCTGTTTGTTCATTGCCATGTGCATAGTAAATGTGACCATCCAAATCTGTTATGGTCAATCTGAGATTGTGTCCTTTCTTATTTCCGTCTTGAATTGCAGCAAGTACTCCCATGAAGCCTTCTTTGTTCTTTCCTTCGTCAAAGTTTACTGTAAAGGTTCGACCAGATGTAATTTGACTTCTAACTTCACGATACTTTTCATATGCATATCTTGTTCTTTCCATGGGAGCATGTGCGTCTTCACCTTTTCCTTTTTTCCTTCTCAAAGGATGCAATTGTTCGTCATGTTTCCAGTAGAATCTGGCAAAGCCGTCGTGTCCTTCAACTTGAGGTTCACTAACATCGAAAGGCATGTCCATAAGACGTTCTTCTTCTAACCTCTCTAGTCTGTTTGGATAATTGGCACGTGCTGTTTCCAAATCTAATTCGTAGTTCAAGACCGCCCAGTTTGTCATAGACTTTTATGGGTCTTCCCTTTCTTATATTTAAACTTCTTCGAAACTCTCCAACCATATCTTTGTAACTCTGCTTTTATTCTAGCGGACTTTCTGTCCATTCTATATGGGGGCATTTTTATAAAAATAAAAATTTTTTTCTTTACTTTACATAACCGCCTGCTGCCATAAGTCTTTGACGCCAACCCATACCAGCTAATGAAGGTTGACTTGGTTTAGTTTGGAAACTAAACTTTGGTTTTGGTTTATCTTCAGTTTTTGTTTTTCTTCTTCTATCGGTTTTTCGTCACTTTTCGGTTCCTTTGACTTTACTTCACTGCAGGAACAGTTGTGTCGTCAACATCTTCATAAATATCATATGCCATTTGTTTTTGTTTTCCTTTCAACTTTTTGTGTTTGTTGTAAAGTTTAGAATATTTCGACTCTAAGTCAATGAGATGTTCTATAATGAAATGTTGGTCAGTGAAGTAAACTTTTCCATCTGTTGTCTCGAAAGCTCCTTCAGACTTCAATATTTTATTGTGAGAGTCTGTTTCTTTTTTGAGATACTAGCCGTTCCATTTCTATGAAAAGTGACTTTATAGTTAGGGGTTGTATTTCCAGACCTGGCACTTTCTATTATTGAATTTTTCTCTTCATCTGTAAGTTCTTATTCAGGTTTTGACAATGGTTCTGAACTTTTTGTTTGTGGTGTCAAATCTACCGTTTCAACTTCTTCGGTCATTTCATCTCAGTAAAAAATTTTAGTTTGGTTTGTTTTCAACTGGTTGTTGTTGTGGAGGTGGGATGGTTCCTTTAATAATATCATTCAGTTTCACATGCTGAGCCTGACTATATGGTATCGGTTTAAATGCTGGAAGCCGACAAATCCATCTTGAACTCATTTGTCTCAATGCTGCATTGTTTATTTCATCCTAGTTAAAAACCTTACATTTCCCAAGTTTGAGGTGGTTGCGGTTGGTTATTGCTTACCCATTGTTGTGCATGGTTATATCCTCTGTTAAAGAATCTTTCACCTTGGTCCATATAGTGTCCTGCTTGGTTATAGTAGTCATTTGCTTTGTTATAATAGTTTCCTGCTTGTCTTCCTACATTGTCCATCCATCCTTGAACTTTTCCTCTTGTTTCAGGATTTGGAATAAGATTTGTTGCATCTCGTGCTACATCCCAACCTTTCTGTACAGTTTGTATAATAGGTTGTGCTTTCTCTTTAAGTATACCTAATGTACTCAAAATCTTCCTTCCAACACCAAATACACCTCTGGCTATTGTTCCCACTGTGGGTAAAAATCTAGATGCAACCCCTGCTAATGCGCCAAATAAACCCATTTCTTATGGGTTAAAAAATGACGAATCCGAACAAGGACCCCTATGTTTCTAAAGCGACAAAGAAAGCACTCATGATAAAAATCTTTAGTTCAACATCAAATGCTTGGTTTATGGATATCTTGGAAAACATTCCGAGGTATAGAGAAGATGGACCACCATACTGGTTAATATTTGTTGGTCAAAACACAAGATACTGTGAAGCCATACCATTACAGTCCAAAGCTATTTTAGATATCTTAGCAGCTTTGACAATATTCGTTGACAAATACCATCCAACAAAACTGACATCTGACTGTGAAAGTTCTTTCAAATCAGATGATGTAAAAAACTATCTGCGTTCAAAAAATGTAAACCAATATTTCATTGTCGACCAAAACCATTCTGCTCTTGGTGTCATTGACGGATGTATAAAAATGTTAAGAGACTTAAACCAACCACAAGGTGGTGAAGCAAATGAAATGTCATATGACGACAAATATAGACACTTCTCCATGGCAAAGATGAGACAAGTTTTAAATATTTACAATAACCGTAAACAAAAAGGTTTGGGAAACCACTCCCCCGAAGAAATGAAAAACAACCCTGACTTAGAGAAAGACTATATATTTAATAATTTAGTCAAAAGAGACAAACAAGAAAGAATGCCGGGCTTCAAACTTCAGAAAGGTGACAAAGTAAAAATAGAAATACCTAAACGCGACCCATATGAAAATACTATTGACTATGACAACAATGGGAACTCGACAGGTACTCACATTCGTGTTCGTAAAAATAGAAGAAAGTATACAAGAGAATATTATGAAGTTTTAGGCAAACATGGCAAAATGTACACACTGCAAGCAGAAGATAAAACTACTATTGTCAGACCTCGTTTCAAACTTGTCAAAGTTCAAGGTGGTATACTTTCAAAGACAGTTCGTAACAAATATAAGACAACTCCTGACGAATATGCTAAAGAAGTTGAAAATGACGACTAAGCAATTCTATACCATGCGTAAACTGTCATGTAAGGTAGCATGTATTCTTTACTTTGTCCCGTTGTTTGCGTATATCCTGAAACGAAATGTGTATGGTTTCCTTCTCCCTGCGTGTCATCCCAGTAACAATTTATAGCAAACTTAACGTCGTCTTTAACATCATATCCTTTACCTTTTGTCATTCCTGACCAATCCCAATATCTATGCTTATGTCAACCTGCTTGAGATGTACTTAAATCTATGTAATGACTGTGTGCAGGTAAATTTTCACCTGAAATCGTTTGACTTCCACCTGTTTCCTTTGAAGAGTTTGCACAATACAAAAACCTGTCGACTATTTGTTCCCATGCACCAACACCAAACATTACTTGAGGACCTCTTGCATCCATAGATGTATAAATAGAACCTACTGGGTTCATTAAATCAAACATATGAGATATTATAGGATTATCTCTTTTGAACTTAAAATATAGTGCAACTATTTCAGGTTTCTTCTGGTTTGTGTCAGAATATTTTTTATAATATAATCTTATGTTTTCAGGGTAGGTAAAATCTTGACTATAATATTTATTTCTGTCATCTGTATAATAATATACTATTCTCGTTTTTTCTATTGCATTATATCTTTTATATCTATAATATTCTAAATATAGGGTGTCCAAAGGTGCGTTTAGCACAGCGCTCTATATGAGACTATTAAAGGAGATATATGCTGATTATAAATATATAATAAAAAATATGAATATATGTATATGATGAGTATGTTGTATTTTGGCGCCATGCCGGGATATAAAATGAATTTTGAGACAAGAGGCGGTTTCGCGGGAAATTTTGGCGGGATTTTTTTCATTTTTTTAATGAATCATAAAGAAAACATCCTCGCTCTTGCAAAAAAATGCAAAGACTGTAAAAAAATCTACGAGACATTGGTAAAATGCTTCGGTATGGATGCTCCTAGCTATTCCACTGTAACGTATCATGTTAGGATGTATCACTTCATGAACAAAAAGGTGCCCATCATAAAAATTGACAAAAAATCGCCGGATCAAAGAAAAATCAAAGCAATTCTTCAAGCGCTAGATGAAGACCCAAGAGCATCACTCAGAAGGATAGAGGAGATGACAAAGATACCACGTACAACAGTCAGTTATTATCTGCACAATTATTTGAACTACAAACTAGCGTATACACGTTGGGTTCCGCACAACCTTAATTCAGTTCAAAAAAAATCTAGAGTCCAATCTTCGAAAGAGCTCCTCTCTATATTGGGTGCGTATCAATCCAAGAAGTTTCGCTTTTTAGTAACAGGGGATGAGTCTTGGTTTCAATATGCAACAGAAGCCAAAATCATGTGGATCCCGAAGGATGAAAATCCGCAAACATTCCCGAAGAAAAAAATTGACACACCAATGATGATGTTGTCGGTTTTTTGGGGCGTGAATGGCATCATCGCAATTGATATTCTTCAAAAACCTAATACGATGAATGCTCAGTATCTAATTGACAATGTTCTTACTCAAATTATCAATTCTGATGAGTTTGAGAAATCCAAACAACAAAAACAAAAGTTTGCAATTCATTTTGATAATTCAAGAGTTCACAAAAGTCATAAGGTAATGAATTACTTGTTGGAAAACAATGTCAAAGTTGTTCCAAACCCAATTTATTCACCTGATATTGCACCCTCTGACTTTTATTTATTCGGCACGCTAAAAAAGAGAGCTGAAGGACGCGAATTCGCGAGTCCAGATGATCTTGAAAATTTTGTAAGAGAGCAATTTGAGCAATTTTCTCATAATGATTTAAAGCGTGTCTTTGAAGCCTGGATCGATCGCTGCGAACGCGTGATTGAATCCAATGGTGATTATATTTAAATAAACTTTATATATATGTAACTTGTTTATTTCTATTCGCAGTATTCAGGTTTGTGCTAAACACACCTTTGGACACCCTATATAATGTTTGCTTTTATGGGTCTACATGTGGTGTTTTGTCGTCATCTCCATAGTCATAATAATATGGTGCTGGAGCTGGGTCAGGCAATGTCATATCTGCCATTTCATAAACTCTTAAATATTTCTTTTGTTCGTCTCCATATAAGTTTAAGTAGCAGTTGTTGTCTAATGGAACTTTAACTTGTGTACCATCATTCTTTTTATAGCTTACATACATTTCATTGTTATTTTTCGGAATGAGTTTATGCCGTGTACCATTTTTTAAGGACTGTACCAACTGCCATCTAAAATATTTATTTTCTTCATTGACAGAAAAGTCACCAACAATAGTTTCAATATTTTTTGTTGTTCCTATCAAACTTTGGTATATTTCATTGACATATGTTTTATCTGCTTTCTTTTCAAGGCTAACGTTTAAGTCTGTTATTTCAGAAGATGTATGTGTATGTCCAACGTCACTTTTACTGTTTAAGGTTTCTTGTAAGTTTGTAATATTTGCAATGGTATGTGTATGAGTCTTATCTGCTTTTGTCTCTAATGTTTCCTTAAGACTTGGTATTTGGTTAATATAATGTATATGAGTCTTTTTAGAATATTCGTTTTCAGCTCTTGTCACTTCACTTGACATTTTATTGTCAACATATGTTTTGTCTGCTAGTTCAGGATGAGTATGTTCTTTTGTTGCATAAGCATTGTTAGCTCTTTCTTCTTCTTTTGCTATTGCATCGTCTACATATTCTTTGTCAGCTTTGTTGTCAACATCTGCTTTCAAAAGAAGTTCATTTATAGGTTTCTCGTTTAAAGTTCCTTTTGTTGGATTTATACAGACAGTATGGTTCTTATTGTCTTGAAACAGAAACTCATCTGTCATAGGGTTTATTGTCAGTTTTAGGTTTCCTTCTTTCAATGACTCAGATATTTTAGCATAGTTTGAAAAGTTTGTTGTGTTCTTATTTAGAGCTTGCATAATGAGTTGTCGGTTGTGTTGTATTTCTCTCATAGACGCTGTTTCATTTGACATTTTTATTATAGATAAAATATGCTTCCAATAGAAAAAGAAAATTCTAGAGTTGCTACAACTAAACCATTAGATGAACTTTTTACTAATGTCGGTCAAAAGTTTGACTTAGATACTATAAAGCATGAAGGCTATCGTTTTGACTACCCATTAAGATGGTTAAGAGACCCATCCGTCACAAAAGCTATTGGCTTTCGAAGAATAAAATTTGTGTCTGTAGAAGATAAAAGTTTTCCATTTATTGTAAGGTTTCATATAGATTATATATCTGAAGGGAAACGAAAAATGTGGGAAGAAATTGAGCTAATACAAGTTGACCTTTCATCTTCTCTACAGACTGCGTTAAAAAATATAGAAGATAAAATAAATTCATGTTATGCAAAATATGCTGATGAATATGCAAATACCGATAGCACACTTTATGTGAGAATTGTATATGACAAACAAAATTCACAAGTGTCATTTCAAATCTACGAAGACAATCCAAATAAAGACGAACAAATATATACAGAATTCACTGCAATGTCATGGTATTATTTGCAAAGAATGTTAAATCAGAAAGTTGAACCTCCTTTAGCAAATATCTACAGTCGATATGCAAGAGATGAACCATATTTATTTAAAGATGTTTTCGACCAAGATGCTATTATTGTTCATGCTTCATTTTCTGGCGCCCAAAACTCTTTCTTATGCTTGGCAAATGACTTTTACGAAAAACTTACAAAGTTATACGAACCACCAAGTGGAAGTATTTCAGACTTTCAAGTATGGTTTACTACAGATGGAAGAAAAAGAATAATTCCATTATACCATGCGTTTTACTTAGAACTTAGTTTCATATACAACTAGTATCGAACGGTAAAAATATAATTTTTTAATATACCGGTTGTGGTTGCCAACTTGACTGTGGTGCAGGTTCAGGCTGTTGTATAACAGGAGCTTGTTCTTCTGGTTCAGGGTCTTTAGGTATAATACCAACAAACTGACCTACTCTTTTACCAATATTTTTGACTCCGTTCCAAATTCCTTTTCCGACAGATTTTATTCCATTCCATATACCTCTTCCAACATTTCGAAAGAAGTTTCCTATCTTACTGAAGAAACCCATTTTACTATATGTAAAAATCTAATGTCCGCCTAGTCTTTTGCGTTTCCTGTTGAGTTCCATAGCATTCTTTAACTGGAGCTCATACATTCTGTTTCTCCTCTGGTAGAAAACATATTCTGGGTCAACTCCTGTGTTCGCGTCATCTGCATAAAGTTGTTTATATCCCACTTCAGGGTTTGTATAAAACTCTTTCCATCTCATATTTGCATACCATGGTGGCAAACCTAACGCAGCGTCATTTGACATGGCAGTTTGCATTTGTACATCTGTTGGCACTTGACCATAGTTTGCCATTGCAGTTTGTATTCTAACTTCATTTGGAATATTCTCTGGGTTTGGTTGTCCAGGTTGCTGTGCATTCGCTAAGTTCTGTGCGTCCATTTAATATTAGATAAAAATATCTCTTACGAGTACATATGCAACATTTGCAGGCATTGGTTCATCTTCATATTCTCTGTACTTTTCTGCCACGTCAAATAAATAAATGACACAATGGAAAAAACCTAAAACAAGTAGTCCTATTTCAAACCACATTTACTTACTAATAAAATTTCTTTATTGTGACACTTTCTCCAGTTTATAGGACCTCTCTCATATTCTATCTTGTCAATATATAAACTCATAGTCAGTATGTCCTCTAAACCATCTCATAACGGTTCCAAACCACTTTTATCGGATGTAAAGTAAAAGCATGGATGGTTTATGTATACGTCTAAAGTTTCTAAGAGTCTCTCAAAGTCCAGTCTACTTGGTATTGAAATCCCATGTGTTATAGAAGCGGGTCCACTATAAAGAAAACATTTTCCTTGTCTTTATATTTTTCATACAACTCTGTCAATGACATCTCACAACTCTATACCCTCAATATATTTTTCTATGTCCTCTTTTGAAAACTTGTATAGTTAAGATAAAAACTTTTGACATAAGTGTTTCAATGTCATGAACTCTTATAGCACCACTATATAATAGTCTAGTAGATATACTATCTCAGTCTATATATTCTGCTTTTTTCAAAACCTCTCTCACAATATTTTTCTTATCTAATGGTATACGTTCCATCTTACCTATAGGTATCTTTTCTTTTAACTCTTTCAATATATTATTTGTGTCTGGAATATGTTTGAGACGGTCCATATAGTTGTCGAAGTCATTGCATATAATCTTTGAGTCAGGAAATATGGTATGACATAAATGGGATATATAGAAACTTCCACCGAACAAATCTACAAATGTTAGACCATTCGGTAGTTTCTTAAGTTCTCTCAATATAATATCTTTACATCTACTCTTATTTCCAAAGAACGGTAACGGTGGTTTTGTAAAATTCATTTATATATAATAATAAAAATGTTTTTACCCGAAAAGTGATAGAAAAGTGACAAAACATGAAAACATATATAATTTGTGAAAAGTGACACATTATATAATGTTTTCGACCCAGAAGAAGGCTTCTTCCCAGAAGCAATGGAGGAAGAAGAGGAGGAGGAAATACAAGACTCTATCCAAGAAGAGTCCTCCGAATTCACACCAGAAGACTAACAATTTTCCGAATAAAAACTTCATTTATACTAAACATCTTCGGGGCTAGAGGGCGCAACGCGCCTGGAAGCCCCACTACCTTTTTTTTGCAATTGGGTATATTATTATTTGTTCTGATAAAATTTATCTTAATATTATCTCTTTTGATATAAAATAAATTATGTATATTCAATAGTTCATCCATATTGTATATAGCATCATATTTTCACCCAAAAATAAGAATGTTTTTAAAATATTTCCGTCAGGCTCAGAAAAATTGAAATGATTCTATAATTTACAAGGAAATCTTTTTGGAAATAAGAGAAATCGGGATTAGGGCAAGGTTAACAAATTGGAATTAACCAAATCCTAAAATATTGAAATATAAAAAAGCAAAGATAAAACAATAAAGAATTGTTATAGACCGAAAATAGATTTTTTCGGTTTTCTCTTCAAATAATTGAAAGAATGATACTATTATAGGTTTATTATATTATATAGCATATAATCATGCTATAGCCGAAAATTATAAGTTTTGAGAAGATTGAATAAAACACAAATAAATTTGAATGTAAGTTAAATTGCTTGTTGTTTTTAATAGCTATTTAATGAGAAATCCAATATTGCAAAATTCAAATTGAATGATTGAAAGAACAGAAAAAGTCATTCTTTTCAATTTCGAATATGTTTCATTGTATTTATAATTATATGGCAAATAAGATATTTAAACTTGATTTTTGAAGGAAAATTCACAAAATCGAATAAATTCAAATAATTTCTATTCAAAATAAACTAGTTATTTGAGTTTAATACTAATTATCTATTCAAACTACAAAGTTTGTAATTTAAAATATTTTGTGAGATCAGATTGAATTAATTCAAGGTTCTTTTCAATTAATATTAATGACCATATTACGCATTTTCGAACATTCTAAACCAAATATATAAAAATGGGAGACGAATGTTAAATTTTCTAGACATAAAGAAGTTGTTTTACCGAGTTTTAGCTCTTATCTCTAACAAAAATTAATTTTTTAAAAAAATGACCGAATACGTTTCACAGCGAGAAAAAAATAAAAGGCAAGATAGAATTTTCTAGACATAAAGAAGTTGTTTACCGAGTTTTAGCTCTTATCTCTAACAAAAAATTAATTTTTAAAAAAATGACCGAATACGTTTCACAGCGAGAAAAAATAAAAAGGCAAGATAGAATTTTCTAGACATAAAGAAGTTGTTTACCGAGTTTTAGCTCTTATCTCTAACAAAAAATTAATTTTTAAAAAAATGACCGAATACGTTTCACAGCGAGAAAAAAATAAAAGGCAAGATAGAATTTTCTAGACATAAAGAAGTTGTTTACCGAGTTTTAGCTCTTATCTCTAACAAAAAATTAATTTTTAAAAAAAAAATGACCGAATACGTTTCACAGCGAGAAAAAAATAAAAGGCAAGATAGAATTTTCTAGACATAAAGAAGTTGTTTACCGAGTTTTAGCTCTTATCTCTAACAAAAAATTAATTTTTAAAAAAAATGACCGAATACGTTTCACAGCGAGAAAAAAATAAAAGGCAAGATAGAATTTTCTAGACATAAAGAAGTTGTTTACCGAGTTTTAGCTCTTATCTCTAACAAAAAATTAATTTTTAAAAAAATGACCGAATACGTTTCACAGCGAGAAAAAAATAAAAGGCAAGATAGAATTTTCTAGACATAAAGAAGTTGTTTACCGAGTTTTAGCTCTTATCTCTAACAAAAAATTAATTTTTAAAAAAATGACCGAATACGTTTCACAGCGAGAAAAAAATAAAAGGCAAGATAGAATTTTCTAGACATAAAGAAGTTGTTTACCGAGTTTTAGCTCTTATCTCTAACAAAAAATTAATTTTTAAAAAAATGACCGAATACGTTTCACAGCGAGAAAAAAATAAAAGGCAAGATAGAATTTTCTAGACATAAAGAAGTTGTTTACCGAGTTTTAGCTCTTATCTCTAACAAAAAATTAATTTTTAAAAAAATGACCGAATACGTTTCACAGCGAGAAAAAAATAAAAGGCAAGATAGAATTTTCTAGACATAAAGAAGTTGTTTACCGAGTTTTAGCTCTTATCTCTAACAAAAAATTAATTTTTAAAAAAATGACCGAATACGTTTCACAGCGAGAAAAAATTAAAACTGTACACTGATTTTCATTTTCATTTCCAGTCACTTTACTTATTATTTTTTCTTTTTTTCATTTTAATTATAAATTATTTCATAATACGTTTATTTACGTTACCATTTTCTTTATTATTTTGAATTCCATACTAGACACTTATAGAATATTTTGATTGTTAACGTACTTCATTAAAATGAATCCTTACAAAGGGTATGTCGATCGAATTTACCTAATTGGTATTTCCAATCAGATTGAAGAAGGTAAAATGACATGGGAAGAAGCTTGCACCCATGTTCCCATCGCCCCAACCTTTCAATCAAATGATTTCAAATATTTAGATGTTTCAAAATCTTTTTTACAAAATCAATTTAGCTTACAGAATATCCCATTGCCTAAAGGCAAGAAAGGTCGTAGGGTCAATCCCTACGACCAAATCAAAGCTCTTGCTGTGATACATGACCACTGGGCCTTTCCCTGTGGTCAAACAAAACAATGGAAATGTTTGAAATTACAACAAATTGATGTATCTTATAGAGAAGTACGCAGATACTTCAAAGAAAATCATTTCACCAAGACGCGATTAGAGCATGCCGGGCCAGAAACAGCAGTAAGATATTGGGCGCTTTCACCCAATCTTATCTGGCACGCAGATGTTCATTATTTTAGGGGTGTTCGTGGCCAGTATATTTATGGCATAATCGACGATTTTAGCCGCAAAGTCCTAGCGTGTATACAAATACCAGATATGCTGGCAGCGACGACAGCGAACGTTGCGGCTTCCGCCTTCATTGAATTTGGCGCCCCTTATTGTTTCTGGACCGACAACGGTTCAGAAAATAGGGGCGCCTTTCAAGATCTACTTGATCTTTGGGGCGTCCAATGGCGGCATACAGACTCTCATTCTCCCTACCAAAATGGGAAGATTGAGAGATTCTGGCCGACATTGGAGCGCTGCCAAAGCATTCAGGCTATTCCTGCCTTTATTTGGGAGTACAATAATAACACCACCGATGAAGATCTCCCAATTAATCCATTAACTGGAACAAATTACACGCCAAATCAAATGTATCAGCTGAAACCGAAATACACAAATGCAGATACAGAAAGGTTGTGGCAAATATGGGATACAGATACAGGCATGACCGCTGTTGACACATTCACAGCGTAATAATAAACATAATTTTTTAATTTCATTTTTAACAAGTTTTTTTTAAATGTATGTAATAAATAATTCATTAGAATATGATAATGCACATTGTAACAGAATAGAACAATCACCAAATTTTTTTTTTGAAATTAAAAAATAAAAGTAAAAAGGATAAAGTAATCTAACCAAAAAAGATATTTAAAAGAATTTTGGAAAAAACAGAATAAGGATAATGATATTATTTTAGATACACAATCGATGTACTGAAGAATAATCCGGTAAAATGATGATATAAAATTAGATTATTTTACAAGTAGCTAAAAGAATAAAACTATAATATAAAATAAATGAAGTTTAATGAAACAATAAAGGTTAAATAAATAATAAAGATTTTTATTTTATATCAGTATTGAGAAGAAGTAACAGCTGACACTTGGTAGACAACTTCTTTATGTCTAGAAAATTCTATCTTGCCTTTTATTTTTTTCTCGCTGTGAAACGTATTCGGTCATTTTTTTAAAAATTAATTTTTTGTTAGAGATAAGAGCTAAAACTCGGTAAACAACTTCTTTATGTCTAGAAAATTCTATCTTGCCTTTTATTTTTTTCTCGCTGTGAAACGTATTCGGTCATTTTTTTAAAAATTAATTTTTTGTTAGAGATAAGAGCTAAAACTCGGTAAACAACTTCTTTATGTCTAGAAAATTCTATCTTGCCTTTTATTTTTTTCTCGCTGTGAAACGTATTCGGTCATTTTTTTTAAAAATTAATTTTTTGTTAGAGATAAGAGCTAAAACTCGGTAAACAACTTCTTTATGTCTAGAAAATTCTATCTTGCCTTTTATTTTTTTCTCGCTGTGAAACGTATTCGGTCATTTTTTTAAAAATTAATTTTTTGTTAGAGATAAGAGCTAAAACTCGGTAAAACAACTTCTTTATGTCTAGAAAATTCTATCTTGCCTTTTATTTTTTTCTCGCTGTGAAACGTATTCGGTCATTTTTTTAAAAATTAATTTTTTGTTAGAGATAAGAGCTAAAACTCGGTAAACAACTTCTTTATGTCTAGAAAATTCTATCTTGCCTTTTATTTTTTTCTCGCTGTGAAACGTATTCGGTCATTTTTTTTAAAAATTAATTTTTTGTTAGAGATAAGAGCTAAAACTCGGTAAACAACTTCTTTATGTCTAGAAAATTCTATCTTGCCTTTTATTTTTTTTCTCGCTGTGAAACGTATTCGGTCATTTTTTTAAAAATTAATTTTTGTTAGAGATAAGAGCTAAAACTCGGTAAACAACTTCTTTATGTCTAGAAAATTCTATCTTGCCTTTTATTTTTTCTCGCTGTGAAACGTATTCGGTCATTTTTTTTAAAAATTAATTTTTGTTAGAGATAAGAGCTAAAACTCGGTAAACAACTTCTTTATGTCTAGAAAATTCTATCTTGCCTTTTATTTTTTTCTCGCTGTGAAACGTATTCGGTCATTTTTTTTAAAAATTAATTTTTTGTTAGAGATAAGAGCTAAAACTCGGTAAACAACTTCTTTATGTCTAGAAAATTCTATCTTGCCTTTTATTTTTTTCTCGCTGTGAAACGTATTCGGTCATTTTTTTAAAAAATTAATTTTTTGTTAGAGATAAGAGCTAAAACTCGGTAAACAACTTCTTTATGTCTAGAAAATTCTATCTTGCCTTTTATTTTTTTCTCGCTGTGAAACGTATTCGGTCATTTTTTTAAAAATTAATTTTTTGTTAGAGATAAGAGCTAAAACTCGGTAAACAACTTCTTTATGTCTAGAAAATTCTATCTTGCCTTTTATTTTTTTCTCGCTGTGAAACGTATTCGGTCATTTTTTTAAAAATTAATTTTTTGTTAGAGATAAGAGCTAAAACTCGGTAAACAACTTCTTTATGTCTAGAAAATTCTATCTTGCCTTTTATTTTTTTCTCGCTGTGAAACGTATTCGGTCATTTTTTTAAAAATTAATTTTTTGTTAGAGATAAGAGCTAAAACTCGGTAAACAACTTCTTTATGTCTAGAAAATTCTATCTTGCCTTTTATTTTTTTCTCGCTGTGAAACGTATTCGGTCATTTTTTTAAAAATTAATTTTTTGTTAGAGATAAGAGCTAAAACTCGGTAAACAACTTCTTTATGTCTAGAAAATTCTATCTTGCCTTTTATTTTTTTCTCGCTGTGAAACGTATTCGGTCATTTTTTTAAAAATTAATTTTTTGTTAGAGATAAGAGCTAAAACTCGGTAAACAACTTCTTTATGTCTAGAAAATTCTATCTTGCCTTTTATTTTTTTCTCGCTGTGAAACGTATTCGGTCATTTTTTTAAAAATTAATTTTTTGTTAGAGATAAGAGCTAAAACTCGGTAAACAACTTCTTTATGTCTAGAAAATTTAACATTCGTCTCCCATTTTTATATATTTGGTTTAGAATGTTCGAAAATGCGTAATATGGTCATTAATATTAATTGAAAAGAACCTTGAATTAATTCAATCTGATCTCACAAAATATTTTAAATTACAAACTTTGTAGTTTGAATAGATAATTAGTATTAAACTCAAATAACTAGTTTATTTTGAATAGAAATTATTTGAATTTATTCGATTTTGTGAATTTTCCTTCAAAAATCAAGTTTAAATATCTTATTTGCCATATAATTATAAATACAATGAAACATATTCGAAATTGAAAAGAATGACTTTTTCTGTTCTTTCAATCATTCAATTTGAATTTTGCAATATTGGATTTCTCATTAAATAGCTATTAAAAACAACAAGCAATTTAACTTACATTCAAATTTATTTGTGTTTTATTCAATCTTCTCAAAACTTATAATTTTCGGCTATAGCATGATTATATGCTATATAATATAATAAACCTATAATAGTATCATTCTTTCAATTATTTGAAGAGAAAACCGAAAAAATCTATTTTCGGTCTATAACAAAAACAATAAAGAATCGAAGTTTTGGGAAATTTCGCGATAAAAAACCTGATTCGATGTTAAATTATAACATTACATTAGTAGTTCTGTATATATTTAAAGGAATTTGATTGAACTCCCCTAAAAAGCAATTGTAAGAAATCTTTTCTATACATCGGCCAAGATTACATTGAATTTTGAGATTTGTGAGTGTGGATATCATTCACAATTTTTGTTTATCGTTGACCAATCATGGATAAAATAGTCCCTTTCACTGTTTTTAGTATATTTAGTTTTTCCTTTTCACAAAATTTTTCTATAAAAAAATTGATATCATTTGATATGAAATAAAATGGACAATCAAATTGACCAGGACATTTATATCAAAGATCAAGAAAATGTAACTGAACAGCAACAGAAGGATGATGGCAAAACTTTCATAAATGATGATTTTAAAGATATTATTAAACTCACAAAAGAATATCTCGATTTGATCAACCCGTACCAAGACTATACATATTCATCAAATATTGAATGCAATTATGTAATTCCTAGCCCATACGCGAAAAAACATAATTACATACCTCCTCCGATTGATAAATATAAACTTAGATTCTTATATAAATTGAAAGATGGAAAAGAAATTAATTTCGACCACCCATTACCCCCAGATCTCCCTCTAGAATCAGCAGTTGATTCCCCACATGAGGAAGAAGAGCATAATGAAGAAGATATTATTATCAGAAGTGATATTGTATGTTGTAGGCCTGATAACCCCGATGCAATGGAAATACTTCAATATTTAGCCATAATTATATTACCAATTTTAGGTCCTGTTCTCTATTACTATTGGAAGGACACAAACCAAAAGTTAGCTCAGAAGCTAATGTATGCTACCTTTATCACTTTAGTCATTTTTATATTTATTTTGTTTGTTGTTTTATAAATTTTTGTATTATATCGCAAATCTTGAGTATGTTTTCATTTTTCATGCCTACAAAGTGGACAAGTATATACTGTGAGATCGTCAAAATCTACGAATGTTTTGCGAACATAAATTTTATAAAAATTTTCAAGCTCATTTCTAACATATATGCTTGATGATCTATGAGTAACCTATAGATGAATTTTTATAATTCAGTTCCAGACATTTAAAAAAGTGACGGACCGATCATTACAATTTATATGGATAAAAATGAGTGATAATAATTCAGACCAAACAGAAGTTTCGGATGTTAAAGAAAACAAAACACCACCACAGAATTCGACGCCCGCTATTAAGAACCCTTATTTCGAAAATGTTGCTTCAGACGATGAAAATCAATGCGATTACAGCGTGCCTCCACCTTGCCCTCACAGCACATACTATAGCTTAAACGTACCGCCACCTCCAGAAACAATGAAAGTCAAGTTTGAGTACACAATGAAAGATGGAAAGAAGATTACACTCGAAAACCCTCTTCCACCCGATTTACCACTTGACTCTGTATTTGTTAATCCTACAAATGCGACAGACGCTTTGACAGAAAATTTTGTGGGTGATACTGACATGATTTGTTGCAGAAATGATAATTTTGAGGCCGAAGAAGTCATTTTTTATGCTCTAATAGCTCTCTTCCCACCATCAGGATTAGTTATTTATTATTGTATTCGAAATTCTAATCCAAAGCTTGCAGGAAACATGCTTAATGCTATGATGGCTTCACTTGTTATCTTTGGAGTAATATTATTTGCTATCCTTTACTCATAATACTCTTTTATATTGTTTGTAAAAATTTTATGCCTTACTCTTTCCAAATTTTACCATTCTCTTTTTATAAATCCATTTGTAAGCATTTAATGTTTCAACATAAATCAGTTCATATAATTTGATCTGAATGAAATGAAAATACCCTCAAATTTTTTCATTATAGCATTTGTTCATCATAGTATTACCATTATAAAGGTTCTTTGATATCCTATACTTCCATATCAGTGTTGGTCTCTATTGTATTTCAAATAGTTCTATAATTTGGAAAAAAAATCTCCATATTGAGTTGCAAAAGTAAAAAATTGAGGGTAAATCTTATGGCATTAGTCAAATGTAAAGGATAAGTTAGTAATGTGAATTCTCAAAAAGCCCAAATCTAAAGAAAAAAATTGCAATTGTTGAAAAATGTATTTCACTGAGTAGGGATGGAAGTGATTGAATGCATTTCAAGTAGAGAAATCTCAATAACTACATTATTTAACACATGTGTGTTGCATTTCAAGACATAATGAAATAAATTGTGAGTATCAGATATTGACAAATACTTTTTCTATTGAGATGTGTAATATATTGATAGATATAAAATGAAAAAGATTGTTTTAAAGCAATGAAAGATATGGAAAGAAAGAGAACATTATATAACAATGATTGAGTTGAAAAGAAAATGACTTTCATAGATTAATGGTAAATATAAAAATTAAGATAATGCAATGACAAAATAAAGAAGTAGTATCATGTTAACATCTGCACCTTGTTCAACTAAGTATTTGACAATTTCAATTGAGTTTTGTTGGATTGCAATAGTGAGCGGAGTTTCATAATTATCAAAAGAATCACATAAATTATTGAGAAATATGTAACGAAAGATAATTAATTTAATCTATAATGAATATGAAAAGAAAGAAAATGCCATATAACCATGATATATTTGAAAAGAATACGAATACAATTAATCAATGATAGATATGATCAGAAGGGGAAATCTATAAATAAAGGAGAAATATATAACAATGATAGAAATAAAGCAAAGGTGAAATAATTTTATATTAATCTCAGCATCATATTCAACTAAGAGGGTGATAATTTCCATTGAATCTTCTATGATTGCGATTGAAAGTGGGCACAGATTATTATAAAATGGATTTCATAAAACTATAATTAGTATCAATAGAAAGTTAATATATAATTTCATTGAGCAAAGATTAAAGTCATGAAATAGCGATTGTTATCACTAGAAAGAGAATTAAATAAAGAACAAATAAATATAGAAAGAATGATAATGCAAATATTATTTATATCTGCACCATTGCGTAGTAAATAAGTAGCGGTCTCGAAATTACCAAATAATAAATTTTCGGCCAACGAATTTGGAACTTGTCCTAAATTTGTTTTAAGATACTCTGCGAGTTCGTAATTGTGAAAAATCAATAAGGTATCTATCAAATCATCAAATGATTGTCCATCTTCAATCATTTGAGAAAATATATTGTTATTTCCGCTTTGAACGGCATATATTGATGTGTTTTCTGTAAAATTAGCTCCAATATTCTTTTTAAGTAATTGAACCAATACTCTGATCCAAATTTGCATGCGCATTCAAGATGTTTAAAATTATCATATTCCATATTAACCTCAAGATTCGGGAATTTAGTTTTAAAACTTAAGTTCGTCAATTTTATCCCATACAATATAGTATAAATGAGACTTTTTATCATAAATATCGAGCATTTCTTCTTCTGATAGGATAGGCTCGAAATCAGCATAAATTAAACCTTTATAAAATAATAATGAAGTTAACATGTCATTTTTGGTTGAATGTTTCATGAAAACTCGTTAATTATATTTTTCATGTTGGAAAAGCTATTAAGATAAACATGGCATAATAATGACATTCTTTGTTACAAACTGGGTGCACAAATTTCAATAGTCGGCATAATCTAAGAAGTAATTTGTGATTTTAATATTAACATTATCTGATGTAACTAATAGATTAAATTGCATTAATTCTCATACTATCCAATGTGTTGTCTAAATATTTTCTTGAAATAAAGATAAAAAAAAATAATAGTATTTTTTTATAAACAAAATCAAACATATATAAAAAAAACTAGGTAATGATTAGTTCATCAAGCGAACTAGATAATACGGAGTCAGACATAAACATTTCCACATCATTTCTCTTTTTCCTGCGATACAAGATGTAGAAAATCAATGCGCAAATTGAAACAAAAACAATAGAACAAGTAACAAGAATTAAAACAATCTTTGTCTTCTTTGGAACATTAATTCCTGTATCTTCAGATTCCTCCTTTTTCACTATTGAAATGCATTTCATTTTGGACTTTTCTGTCACTTTCATTTCGAATTCTGATGAAGTTCCGTTAAAATTCCAGTAAAAACTTGAAAAATAAGAAATAATATTATTTGTATCAACTTCAAACACGTCGCTGCACAAAACATCAACACTAAAACTATCCCAATCATCAATAAAGTATAATTGGTCATTTTCATCAAAATTTGTAAAATTAATAATAATTCCGCCAAATTTTCCTGGAATATCCGATTTTGCAGTTAGTCTTCCAACATGTAGATATCCTATCTTAAAAGCGGAGTAATCAATGTTGATTTTTCAACATTATTAATATATTCAAATTTTGACACACAATATTTATCAATATTAAGAATAGAAGCATTTATACCTGCACTTTCTTCAGTTTGTTCATGTTTAATTGATAATATCTCCGGATTCATTTCAATAATTGAAGAATTATATTTTTTGCTTCCAAACAGCCTTAATTCTTTGATATCAAACACTCTCTTTACTTCTGATATAATATTGCGTGCATTCATATAATATATTACTGAATTTCTGTCAAAATTAACAAAATCTTTGTAAATTGTCAAATTTGAATCAATATTCATATATAAGATAGTGTAATTATTCATTAGTTTGATGCTTTGTATATTGGAGCTTGAATTTAACACGTCAACATTTTTTGAAAAATGAAAATTAAATTTTACTGTAAAATGAATATCTTGGATAGATGTTGCACTGGAATATATATCTATAGACTCTGAATGTATTGTTATGTCTTTTACATCATTTCTGAAGAAAATTGAATCTGATTTTATTATTTTTTCATCTGTTATCTCTATATTTGAAATAGATTCATTAATAAACATACTTTTAGCGATTAATCGCGTATCCTGCTGATATTTGCATTAGTTAAACTCGTGTGCCAACAATTTATCAAATTATTACTTGAAATCAAACAATTTGTTAAAATTAATGAGAAATTAAATGAGTTATTAATTGAACTTGGCATGTTAAGTAGTTCTACATTGTTTAAATTAACAGTTGCGTAATCAAAATCTGATGAATTGAAAGCATCAATTTCTATTTGTGGTCCGAACTCATTGTTTGGGCAATAAACTAATATATGTGGAAATATTGATGGAATTTTGATTGGAAAAGAAAAATTATCTAATATTCTGAAATGAACTGGAATAACGTAGCCAAAATAGGGTTCGAATACTGTATCATTCTCAATATATGGTACACAGATATCAGAACCTTCACAATTCTCTTTGTTTTCTGTAATATGAATAATTAATTTTTGTAATTCAGTGAAATTTGTTTTCTCTATGTGAACTGTTATCATATTGTCATCACTATCGATATCCTGTATTGGTCTTATGAATATTCCTTTAATCATGATTCTAATTACATAATTTGCAGAAATTTCGGAATATTTCGCAATCTGTTTTGTAGAATCGTTGACAAATGATTCAGAACTGATTATTATTTCATTTGTGTCTATGTTTTGTGCATAAATATTTGGTAAAATGTTAGTTAAGTAATTTATAAAAATTTTTTGAGATCTAAGACATTTCGAAGATAAGATTGATGTATCATCGATAGTAATTTGCCTAATTACATTGAAATCAATGTTTGAAGCATATACTGTTGAATTTTTTAGTTTAATAACTAAAGAAGTTAATTTTGATATTGAGCCTACTATCGATGAGTTTGTATCAGCTATGTTAAGGTAATTGATTACGAATTCGGCGTTTTTCTGCTTGGAAATTATATTCATATCCCCATTAAGTATAATTAAATGATCAAGCACTGCATAAACACGTGTTGAATTGATGTTTAATGTAGATCCAGGAAGTTGAATTATGGAAACTGGGATATTTTGGCATTCAATTATCAAATTCAAAATTCCAATAGTGTTTATCTGAAAAATCCTCGTAATTACTCCCCACACTGTAGGTAAGTAATGGATACTTGTGTTATTATTCGTAATTATGCGAAAATCGATGGTTCGAACAAGATTTGAAACAAATAAGCTATAAAAACTTAAACGAGTGTTTTCCCTGGTTGTTATTTTGACTACTGTTTTGTAGTTCGGAGTGAGTGTCAGGTTTTTGGAATTCTTTATATCTAAAATTTTGACTACATTGCCAACAAGACCAAAACTTGTGTCATCTGGGAGATTTGTAAGAGTGACCTCGACTTCTTTTGATCCAACGCTAACATTTTGTCGTTGATCGGAAATATAACTCAAAAAATCAATAGTGCATTGAGTGCTCTTACTGCAAACAACTAATGTATCTTGGTAATATGTTGTTTGTAATAATATTGAAAGAAGCATCCCAAGATTTGTTTGTTATTGTCTTTGTTTTCTATTATTGAAAGACAACTCAATTTCAGAAGCTATGAAATTTTCGCTTTATTATTACATTATCATATTTGATTTAATTGGCCAAACTTTTTTTCTAGGAGATCAAAATAATTTTAGATTACAACTATTCAATTTGGGGAGATTAAATATTTTTCGTTTAGTGATCCAAAGTGATTTTTATCTGTCCAAAAATGAATATATCTCGGAATAATCATGGTGAGAGTATTCTCTAAAAATCAATCTCGAAATTAGCTATATTCCATTTAAAAATCGCTTCCATTATTGCTTTAGAGGTTAAATAAATTCAAACAAACGCGTTTATAATAACATACAAGAAAATAAATTTTCTAAATTAAATGAGAAGGCCATTTTTTATCTTCTACGCATCGCAATCCAATTTCTATCATCTTGATTGCTAAAGACACATTGATTGGACCTCCGAAATTATAAAAATGGGTGCAATTTAGAGCTGGAAACTGTAAATAGAAAATGCTAAGAGAAGAAACAAAAACAGGTATGAACTCTTCTTCATGTTCATATGTTTGGGCAACTACCATTACCGTTTCTTTATGCATGAATATCGAGTTATGACAATTTGATCCAACTGGCGTGAATATGAATTTTGCTTTAGCCCAATGAGTTGCTGCCTTACGTAGACTCGGGTAAGAATCATGGAGATGTTTGAATGTTATGTTTGGAAAGTGAATTTTTATACTTTTTAATAATTCGTCCATATTTGAAATATATCGAGGTCTCTCTGTTGGTCTATTCGAATAATAGTATTGAGTTGGTTCTATTTCATCCAATTTATATTTTTTAAAAAATAAATTTCTTAATTCAACTGTAGTTCTCCCTGCAACTGACAAACCAACAACTGGTCTCAAAAACGTGTAGCATCTATCAACGTGAACCCATGTATGCTCTTTTATTAAAACTCTATTATTCATAGGAATTTCCATTAAATTAAAAACTGTTGCAACGACATTAGGCAAACCGTTCATTACAATTGGTGTTGTCATTCTTATTTCTTCTGGAATTAGCATCAACGGATCTAAAAAATCAAAAAATGTATGACCGAAATTTTCTCTACTGTGTCTCCAGCCTAAACAGATTAGATCTTGATAATGTGCACTTACATTTCCCTGCATTAATTCGTTTCTCCCTATATAAACCCATGAATTATAATCGTTTAAATCCTGATATGTCCAATTTTCTAATGACAGGCACCCACTTGAGCCAAAATAGATATCATATAAAACAAAAAATGATACACTATTGCTTCTTCCATTTCGATTATATTTTATGGAAGTTTCATTTTTTTGATATGAAATAGCATATAAAGGAACAGAACTATTATCTAATTGTTCTCTAATTTTAAGTTCACATCCAATATGTGGTGCTAAAAATGAATCATCCATTTTATTAATAGTTAATGAATCAAGATATCTTATTGGTTTAATAGAAGCACTTATTATTAGAGGGGTATCGTTTTCAAAACGTCCTGAAGCCAAAGAATGCGAAATTGCTGTTAATAATATGACAACTATAAACAGATCATACATAAATAAAAAAAAATGACTTGACTTTTCTATGAGTTCCTTCAAAAAAATTGAAATTTTGAGACAGACATGTTTAATTTACATTAAAATATTGTTTTCAATAGAATGAAAATGCGGCATACTTCATTGGTTTGTATTTCTCTGGGATTGGCTTAGCAGTGAAGGTCTTAAACTCGCGAGAAGCAATATTTCCATTGCCATCAAATTTAATATCAACAATTGCGCCTTTGTTGCCCATATTTCCGACATAATTTGGTGCTGAAAATACAGTAATGCATTTACCGGAGTGCATTACGCAATAACCGTTCTCCTGGACTTGATGAGATCTGATAAGAAGTTCTAAGTTGTTCTGGCGCAAGAATTGCTCTGTAATATCCGAACCGAACTGTCTTGCAACTCCTCTTGGGGAAGGAGCTAAGCCACGGCCTTCCATTGGATCGGCCCAGAGAATTTCTGCAATAATTGAGTTATCTGGTGGCTGGCAGTTTCTGTTTTCGCGATTAATTACGTTAATATCATTAGTTCTACTTGGTAAACCACCATGAAGTACAATAACTTTATTGTTAATGATATGAGCAATTGGTAACGCGCAGAAAAGCCTTGAAAACTCGGAGAATATGGATTTAGAGAATTTGGCATCGCATTCATTATAGAATCCGTACAATTGGTTCATTGCATCTGTTTCATGATTGCCACGATTCATGAACATGCAATTATTGTCGTAGAGCTTCCATGCCATGAGAGAAATAACGATTTCTGAGCCTTGAGAACCGCGATCGACGAAGTCGCCATTGAATAAATATGGATTTTCGGAACTTGGATAGCCATGTGTTTCGAAAATGTTGATAACGTCTTGTAATTGACCATGAGTATCACCAACAACGTGTATTTTTGGTACTGTAATGTTGACAACGTTTGGTAATGAAAAATATAAATCTCTTACTCTTCGAATCATTGACAAAACTGTCTGCTCTGGTGGCCTTTGATCGTTTAACATATTTTTCATCATGGCTTTGATCGAATCTGGTGAAAATTCGGATGAATCTTTAGCTGTTTGTGGTTTTGCTGGTAAAATTTCCGGTTTTGGTTTTGGAGATGGTATGACTTGTGGTAAATCTTCTTGTTTCGGTATTTGTGTTCGGCCAGCATTTGCCATTAAATCAGGAGGTGAATTTAATTTTGTTTTAACAAAGTCTGCTCTGTCTTTGAAGTATTTTGTTGCTGGTGCTAGCTTAGATGCTTGCAAATAATCCTCGTAAGCTTCTTCCCATGCAAGATTAGTTGCATAAGCGTTTCCTCTTCTAAAGTACGCACGTGAGTTTTTATTATCAAGCTCAATTGATTTCGTAGCTGTGTCAATAGCTTCAGAGTTGCGCTCAAGTAATAAAGCTGCTGCTGACAAGCTTGAATAAATTATTGAAAGCGTTGTGTTATCGCCGTTTTTACACTCTTCAATAGCTTTCTTGTATGAATCATAAGCAGCAAAGTACTTTCCGGCTGTGAAGAAATCATTTCCTTCCTTACGGAATTTCTCAACTTTGTTCGACATAAATTGAAAAAAAAGATAACGTTATCTTTTTTTTCCGCAATATTTTACATCAGCAGAATATATTGAGCGACAATGATGTGAGCTTTGATGAGAAATCGATTTCTCTGGAGGAATGAAGCTCTGTCTACGCATTCTCTAAGGATCAAACATCAGTAATTCTGATCATTATTAAATTAATCAAAAGTAAAAAAGAAGATAGTACAGTATACATTGTGCGTCGCCTGTAGCCTACAGCTACAGTCACCGGCACAATGAAAAAAGTGACAGAAAAGTGACACTATACGGGTGTGCATATGTACGCATATATGTGTAAAAATAAACGTTCATATGTAAACTAACCTTTATTCACTAGCAGGGGCTGATAAATCATAATCGTCGAGAAGTACGATAGGTGGTCCCACCTGTTTAATCTGTATGGAGAGGCAAACGTGACGTAAGAAGCATAACACTGGTTTCTCAGTATATTTAATAGACTCTGCTGTTGGCTTAACTGTAAGCTTATATGTAATAGGTGAATTAGATAACTGACCCTGTTGGAATGTATAATCAGTTTCGCAAGGGAATCCACATAGGTAATGACCTAAGTCATTTGACTCGATTCCAAATTGAGGGACTGATGTGGTTGTGATAGACCTCATGACATCATAGTTGAAGCCAACAGTATCGTTATTATTGTTAGTGGCATTTGCCTGCATCTCATAGAAGATTGGATCATTAGATGCTTGAGCCTCAGCGGGTATGTTACCATATGCTCCACAGTTCAATTGAATTTGTTCAAACAATGGATTTTCATAGGTAGTGTTATAATTAGGTGTTTTCTTAAATAGTGTATAAATGGTGTTCACATATAATGGAGTAAATGCTGCCGTGAATGTACAAGGAGTTCCTTCACCTTTAGCCATTGAACCATCCATAGTAATGCAGTCAATTCTTTTGATTGGGAAGTTTAGAGTCTTTGCCGAATATCTTGTCACCAAATCACTATAGATGTTAGGGTCCAAAGAGAATGAGTTACAGTATGTAATCATTTCAAAGAAGTTTGCATTCTTCTTAGCGAACTTAATAAACTTGGTACCAAATGATATCGTACTCTTATCGGCATTCCAAGTTACAGTATCAATAACTTTGATACCTTCATAGATAGGAGTGAAGTGATTAGTGATTGGAATATAGCTTGTAACATTGGCTTGCATGTTCGGTAATGGTAGAATATCCTGATAACTTAATGGTGTCCAAACCATACCAGCAATACTGAACTTAACCTTAAGTTGTAAGTTACCAGCAAACGCTGGAAGGAATCTAATGTTATTAAGTATTAGGAATCTTCTTAGGTCAATCTTGATTGGTATGTGGAACTTTAATGTAGTTGCACCACTAATTGGTTTATTGAACTCAATAATCTGTCCAGAACGAACTGTATCACATCTATTGAAAACATCTTTATGTCTAGCCTTACTAAATACATCAACTTTCTTAATAGCTTCTGTTGTAGATGCAGTAGAAGTAATGTAACCTTCTTCTCTAGCATTATCTTGTGTATAAACACTTTTACCATTAGCGATTAATTGATATGATTCAACAGCATAGAATGAATCAATGTATCCCAACCAAATTGCTGGAAGATGTGCACATGATTTGCCACCAGCATATTTAGTATCAATTGCTTTAATTGCTGTAACATTTGATCCTGTAGGAGCTGTCTCAACAGCTCTTTCTTTATATACTTCACCATCATATTTAGGAACTTTTTCATCAGCTGGTTCAGTTTCTGTTGTAATTATGCACTCACCATCGACATAACCACTAATGAACGTATTATATAAGTCAATCATGTTCTCACCAGGTGGTGATATGTTAAATGTAATATAACCGTTATCAATAGTATTTGTCGGCATAGCTGGCACTTTTGTTGGGACATATCTATGGTTAGTATCTCCAATAGGAACTGCCCCATCAACTTGATCGAAATAATATCTTACTTGTCTGATGGAATCAGCAATACTGTATGTATTGAGGTTATCGTTCAACATCTTTCTCAGCTATAAAAAATTTACAATCTTCTTATTCTTGGGATTATTCGTCTTATTTGTGGCTGAGGTTTAGGAGGTTCTGGTTCAGGCTCTGGTTCATCATCGAAGTGTATTCTTTTCTCTTCCATTGATTGAACATATTCTTGATTCTCTTTAGTTTCCTTCTCACGTTCAATTGGGTCCATGTTTGGTTCATTAACTACACTGTTACGTTCTAATATCTTTGTCATCATCTCTAACAACATTTTATTAGTATATGCTTGTTCTTCTTCTTTCTTCTCATCAACTTTAGGAGCTTCTTGAACAACAGGAGCTGGGGCAGGAGCTGGTGAATTCAATGGTGCCTTTCTCTTTCTAACTTGAACTGAACCATTCTTCATATGACAAACATAATATAATGGATGTTGTATTCCTTTAGCTTCATTCAATATGATTGATTGCTTTTCACTTGGTGAAAGTTTTGACGTCATTTCTATCCTAATAAAATTTTTTACTCCTAACAAAATGACTGAGAATACTTTCGACAGAGAAGCACTCAAGAATGAACTTCGTGAAGAAATACTTAATGAACTCAAACCAAAAGAACAAACACAAGAAGAGAAACCAGCTAAACCAAAGCGTAAACTCACAGAGAAACAATTAGCTGCATTAGCAGCTGGACGCGCAAAGAATCCACGAATGATTGCAAAGAAATTGAGAGAAGAGGAAGAAGCTAAGAAAAATAATAAGTAAGTGTTTAGAACTTTAACTTACGTTCAAAAGATGACTTCGTTGAAATAGTGAAGTCCTTATTTTTGTTGAAGCATGGTTTCGAACCAATGCACAAGTCAAAGGTTATCTCATCACCTTCATAAAGAGATTTGTACAATTCCACGATGCTATATTTTTCCCCAACTTTCTCAGGGAAGAACAATCCTTTCTTCTCGTCATAATGTACTTGTATCGCATCTGGGAACATTTGGTTTGCAGTAAGTGCAATTACGTCCTGTGTGATTCCCTTCATTCGACAGTGGAAAGCAATTTCCTTGAGGTCATTGGTTAATTCGTCGAGGTAAGTCTTTCTTTCCAACGAATATAGATCTTTGTGCCTTAGACATATGTCCTGCAGTAATCTCTGCAAAGTCTGAATGAAATTGACCCAGTGCTTTTCCAATGAGTTCTCTGTTATACCTTCTCTTGTATTCTTCTGCTAACTTATCTAAGTCCTTCTCATACAAGTGTAAACTATCTGTATCCTGATAGAACAACTTCAAGCCCAAATCTTCTGCTGTGAAGAATACTTCATTCATGATTCGTTTGGACATAGAAAGGATTGAAACACCTAATGGACAATAGTTAAAGTGACGAACGATAGGTTTAAATGACTTTACACATGAAAGTTCGGAATCGGGGATGAACTCTATTGTCTGTATGTCATTATAGTTCTTAATGATATAGTCAGTGAGCTTATTGTCCTTGATGAAACGAATCTTTTTGTCAATGGGCTTTAATATCGTCTTACCATAGATACTGTTCAAAAGAAGTTTGATGATCTCTTGTATCGGATTACCTTCCTTCTTATACTTAGCACGTAATTCGAAGAGCTTCTTAACTTCATTCCTTATTGTCATGTCCCTTTTTCCATCATAATAGTATCCATCAATGACTTTGCATGAGATCTCTTGGAACTTGATCAGATCTTGAAGCGTAATGTGGTCTACGAACATCTTGCAGCATGTATTGGAACTTCTGGCAACATGTAAGTCAGGGTTGATGTCAGGATTGACGACAATCAATGGGAATGCTGAGTTCTTACCGATCGACAAGATCTCGATCTGACAGTAAAATCCTGAGATGAACTTTTCCTTTGTTGGTTCAGCTTGGTCATCATCAAAGAGATGCTCCAACAAGTATTCACTGCTCTTCATCTCTTCTGTCATAACTTTTGGAATTCCTTCTAAACAGTAAAGTCTAGCAATTGCTGATGGATACAATGATACAGCATCGAAGTCAGTGATGAGTTCTCCTTCATTGTATTGCTTCTTGTTCTCAGCTAGCATGCATCTTCCTCCTTGAATACACTTGGAAATATATTCACGAGGTTTTCCTGCAAGATCAAAGAGATTACCGTTCTTCCAATATACTCTCTTCTCAAAGAGTTTGTTTGAGATAGAACTTATTGAAACATAATCATAAGCATCTATTTCAAACTCAGTCATGAGGTCATTGCGGAACTTAAGAAAGCCATCTCGTAAAATGCGTACATCTTGACCGCAATAGAATGACGAATAAACTTCCATGTCAAAGTGTTCATCATCAATCTTGCAATCTTCAATCTTCTCAATGTTCTCATTAAAAGCTTCAATATCTTTGACATGATTCATGGCATCATCGATGTTACCAACTTTAGTTGTATTAACTAACTCTTCCGTGTAGTAATTATATGGGAAAACTTCTTTTTCACCACTAGTGAGGTGAAACATTTCAGGGAATCTTTCCAACTTAGTTGAGATGATTGCATAAGAGTCTTTGAAGCAGAGAAGTTTTCCTTTGTACTTTCCTTGTATCTGCATCGTTTGTGAACCTTTGATGATTGGAGTTCCTGTAATCTCTTCTAACTGAGACATGAGAAAAGTGACATCGTACGATAAGTTGTGGAAATAAACTAAACTCTTATCTGGTAAAGCTTCGAGGAATTTTGACGCACAGTCACTTCCCCAAATTGATGTATAACCATCATCGTCATCTTCCATGAAACAAATGTTGTATGCTTTGTGAATGTTTCCATCAGTTGATGCTTCGAAGTCAGCAAAGAAAACATGTTCTCTTGGGAACTTCATGTCTTTCTTCGTCTCTGAACTCCAATCTTTCTTCATCCTTGCGCAATAACGCTCATTGTATGTGAGGTCAATCATTTCTTCAAGGTTCTCATTATACATCGTTGTGAAGTATGTGCAAAGTTCTCCTGTTCTAATTGGTTCGAAATAATTGTTAGCAAACAAGAGTTCAATGACTTTTGCAAGTGGTGTAACTAACTTTGAGTTAATTGCATACCTTGTTTCATATCTTCTGTTAACTAACATCTTCTTCTCTAAAGTCCAATCCTTGCACAACTTACAAACATCTTCATAGTTCTTGATGAACATTGAACTTATTGGAAGCTTTTCGTTCAACATGTAGTGGTCATACATTAATAAAAGTTCTACTGTCATCTTTGGTTCTTCATCTGGTTCATAAGTATATGAATGATTTGAATACTTCTCGTTGTATTTGATGACATGGAACCTTATTCCTGTTTCTTTGGCAATAACCTTAATCTTTGACATTGGAAAATCTTTGACACGAATGATTTCCCTCATATGATTAATTGTTGCTTCGTCAACACCAGCTTGAATACAAGCGTAGATGAAACATGAATCTTTCATCATCTTCTTTGCTGTCTCTGCATTAAGTTCGTTGAAGATCTGATACCTCTCTAAGTTAATAGGTAATTTGCATGTCCATGTCCAAAGCTGACCATTACGTGACCTGTTTCTCTTCTTTGAATGGTTTTGTTTGATGATCTTGAGTGCGATCTTTTCTTGACCTGCTGCTCTCATCGTATCTAACATAACTTGTTCTTCAGCTGTGAGTTTATATGGTGTGTACGTTCCTTTTCTCAAAGCAGAAGCATCAACATCTGAATAAGCTGTATAGTCAAAGATCTCGATCTTCCTTAACGAAGGAATACTACAAAGGAAGAAGTCATAGTTTGATTCAAGGACTTTAGATGCTAATTCTTGTACTTCTGCTATTGGAGCTTCATTAAGTAACTGATGAACTAATGATCCCATTGTATTGATGTTCAAATGACGCAAAATGTTTCTCTTCTCATCAAAGTCGTAATAGAATGTCCACTTCTGTTTGAAAAGGTCTATCTGTCCAATGAACTTTGCCATAACTCTTGGAAACATCTTGTTGAAGTAATCTTTTCCTCTTGGACTGTATTGGTCAATGTTAAACATAATGAATCTTTCTCCTGCTTTAGTTATTGGGTCTAACCATTTCTCATCAGGAAGTTTTTGACCATTAATGTTCTTAACAACGTAAAAGGCATTCTGTATTTCTTTGTATGCTAATTCGCTCTCATCAATCTTTGGTGGAGGGTCTGAGTATATTGGTTGCATCTCCATTAACGCTCTATTATGAGATCTCTGATCGTGATCTAAAGCAACTGGGGAATTTGAAGCTGGAACATTCATGATACCATTGTAGTCATCATAGAAGCTCTTAGCATTCTTGATATTCTCTGCACTTCCTGTATCCTTGATTCTTAATTCAGAGCTAATTTATTGGTAATATCTTTTCTTTCTTAGGCATTTTGCCCAAACATATCAACATACCTCTCTTATCTGGGAAAGTTATTAACAATCCTTTAAGCTGAGCAAAGACATTTATAACCGATAAAAAAATATACGTTATTTTTTTTAATCGTCATCGTAATCATAATCGTACGAAGATTCTGTATCATCATCACTGACATCATTGGTTTCTCTAACTTCTGGCTTATCTGGTTTAATCTCTATCACCATAAACATTGGTGACAATAATCGAACAGGCTGATCTTGGAAGTCAACTAAGGTAAACGTAACATTAGTTAGTTCCCATGGAAATGCATCTATCCATGGTGAGGATTCCTTACATATAAGTGGTTTACCAGATATCCAGAACTCATTGATGTTATAACATGTAGATCTGTACATGATCTTTCTTCGATCATCAACTTGGTCAATATTATTGAACCCAGAGATGACAGACATTGATGAACGAAGGTATAACTGATACCCGAAGTTGAGCATAGGTGGTTTTGGCATTTGTAGATAATAATTATGTACAATAGGTAGTTCTATTCCATATGCACCTAAAATAAGATTTGCTCTATGTGAAGCATCTTTTAAATAGACTTTATGTCCTTTGTCCTGTGACGTAAATATAAGTTGATTCGTAGCACTCAGTGAAACTGTTACATTATGTTGACCTTTTTTCTTGTTATAATAATCAAACTGTTTTGTTACAATCTCTTGTAGTTTTGATACAATAGTATCCATATCAAATGAAAGAGCTGACTTAAATGTACACACCTTTTCTTCTCCATCTTCGTCTAACTGTAAGACAAAATAATCTGTTTCGTCACAAACAATAAAGTTCGCCATAGTACTGACACTTTTTACTCTCATCTTTATCTTACTTGGATGCCCCATGTTAGGATCTGCTTGAAACTGTATTGTCCCGTAGTTATTAGGATCAGTCGATTGTAGATAATACATCATTTTTATATGTAGTAAAAGAATGAGTGTTGTTCCATATGCATATGAATGTTATAAGTCTAGCGTACTTCAATATAAAGAATATACTCTCAGAATTACTGATAATGCTTTAGTCATACATAAAGAAGGTGCTGATGAAGACATTACCATCGGTCCTGGTATATTACCTATCGAGCAACCAGATGGTACAATTGTTGAAACAGACTTAAATCAATACCTTCAAGCGTTACAGAATCGTGTGACAAAAGTAGAGAATAATTACTTAGATGCTCCATTCTTCACAACTGATAGAGATTATATGTTTTCATGTATGGCGAGTAATGGTTTGCAAGAAACTCGTGAGGTAAATATTAATGAAGCATTAGAGACTATAATATATCATGTTAAACGGTTATTATCGATTGACCATGGAGTTCATTTTGACCCAAGGTCTACACTGTTCAATATACCAATGATTGAAAACAGTCAATTAACATTTAAAGAAGATACATTGTATAATGCTTTAAACGCAGCATTTGCTTATATATTAGGTCATGAACAAGTACAAAATAGTGGTATTGCAATATACTTAGATAAAGTTATGTTAAAGAAACCATTGACATTCACAGAAGATGGTCCAAAAGCAACTGGTATTGTTGGTGATGGAACATTATTGACGAAAGAATACTTAGCAAGTCATGTCGGAGAATTTTTCTCCACTAATGATAGCATCAGTACAACACCAGAAGTTATTTTATTGAAGAAACCAATCACATTTGATGTTAAAGGAAAGACAAAAGCAACTGGTATAGCTGGCGATGGAGTTCTTCTGACTAAGGAATACTTGAAGAAAAATATCAATGACTTCGTTGAAATTGTCAAAGATAAAGAATCTGGTCTTAAGTTCAACCCTTTATCATTCATCTTTGCCATAGCAAACGCCGGTGCTACTGCAGCCTCATGGATATCACTCCAGAGTCAAATAAATGCTCTTTGGGCTTTTGTTGAAAGTCAAGAAGGTATAGATACTGTTCTTGACACTCTGGGTAATCTTGGTCCAAATCATAAAGGAGGTTTTGTGGATGGAATAAAAAATTTAGTTGAAAAGACTAAAACAAGTTTCCAGAAGATAACTCATATAGAAAGATTCAGAAATGAAGGTTATATGGAACTTGAGAGTTTTGATGTGACTGGACCTTTGGAACCAATTCTAATGGCACGTGATGCTAATGATAAAGAAGAGAAAGATCCTGGACCAAAAACAATCATTTCTACGTTAAGTACTTTGTACCCTGATTTTGTGACCTTAGTGAAAGTTGCTAATACATCAAGAAAGAACAATAATATTACTATGTCTGGTACTGATGACCTTACTGATTATCTTTATCTCATTCTTGCTGAATTAGCGAAGAAAGTTGAGGAGAACAAAAATAATGGAGGAAGAACTGCACTTAAGATTGCAGACAAAGCTGACAAAAGTTATGTTGACGAAGAGATACGTAAAGTTGCATCTAAAGAATATACTTTATCACAGTCTGTCATACTTAAGACAATCAAAGGTCCAGAGAAAGATATGTACCCAGGTGATGGTACAACAGTTAAAGTTAATGAAAGAGTTTCATTCCCATCTGGTATTGATGCAAAAGAAGTATATATTAATGGTGAAAACATCAATACAACATTGATTCCTTTGAAAAATAATGAGTTCACTGAACCTTTGACAGTTAAATCAATTCGTTCAAGAGAAGACAAACCTGTTATAATCAATAAAATAGGAGCTGATAATGACCAACCAGTTCAAATCAAGAAAATAAGAGCTGATGACATTATCTTGAACTATACTTTAGGCTCAAGTGCTCCACAAGAAGATCCTCATATGAGTTTAACAGAGACCTTGCAAAATTTGAATGGTACTGCATATAATATGTCTATGAGTTATAACAACTTTAAAGCACATGAGTTACCAGTTCTGTTAGACAACAAAGCAGACAAAACTTATGTTAATGAACAGATCTCAAAGATCTCTAATGCATCTGTAAACAATGGAATACCTGAAAGCATTACAGTTAGCTTTGGTAATAATGATATGGGTAAAGTTGCAATATTTATAAATTATAACATTGGTCCATCAGAAAAAGGTCCAAGTTACTATACATTGAGTCATGGTAAATCTATTGAACTTGTGTTCCACAAAAAAGATGGAACAAACTTAACTATTCATCCTGGAGATACGTTTGAGTTTTATTTGAACGATGTCACCACAGTAGATTATACTTATAGACCTTCTAACATGTTTGACATGATGTATCCAATTGGTTCTATATTTACATCAATGAGCTCAACAAGCCCGCAAACCCTTTATGGAGGTGTTTGGCAACCGATTGTTGATCAGTTTCTTTACTGTTCTAACTCATCAATGGACTTTGGTGGTTCAAAGACTATCAGAGTTGAAAACCTTCCACCACACTCCCATAGGTTCAGTGCAACAACATCTACTAATGGAGAGCATTCACATTCAATGACAAAAAGAGGTTATACAAATCTTGCAGCAGGTTCTGATAGACAAGGTATGAATAGATATGATATCACAGATGACCCTAGAGATGTTAGTACAGGTATTTTCTGCGGATCTGCAGGAAACCATACTCACACAGTAGCTGGAATCACAGATGCAACAGGAAAAGGTCAAGACTTCTTACCACCATTTATGACTGTATTCGCTTGGTTCAGAGCTGCTTAACTCAAGATCACGATCACAAACTGTTTCTCAGTATGAATGAGTAGCTCTATTTTTACATCATTACTGAAGTATTTCTTTTCTTCATCAATGACAGAAAGAATGTTTTCATCATCTTTTAAAGATCTTACCAAAGTTAGATCTTCATCAGAAAATCTCAAAGAAAGACTCATTTATGCACTAATAAAAATATAGCTAATTATTTTTTTATCTGAACTTTTTATCGGGTATATAAAGATGTCTGAACATCATATAAAGTTCTTTAAGATCCAACAGTTTGTAGATGAAGTGAAGAAGCAAAATAAAACAGCAAAGAGACTACTTATATGCTTACCACAAACATTATGTCAAGGAAAGTATGGTTATAGTGCAAGTCCGATCATGATCTTTGTCGATAAGCAGAAATACACAAATGAAGGTTTAGCTAATTTACTCAAGTTTGAAAAGATAGCTATAAACATTCCTGACCATTTCTCAGCGAGAATAAACCTTGACAAGACTAAAAGTTATTGTTTATATGTAGATCTCACGAAATCAACAAAGAGTAAAGACAAAGAATATAACCCAGTTGAACTTAAGACAATGGGTAAGAACTTACTCAAAGCTGCTATCAAACCTGTCGAAGAGATCGACATTGAGGATGAAGCAGAAGAAATAGATGTAGATCCTGAAGTGTTATAAACGATAAAGTTTATTTTTGGAGGAAGATGGTGTCAGACCATTTGATCTGGCATGCTTGTTCTAGGTAATTGCAGAAACCTGGAAAGATTGTTATTGGTCTGAGTTTCATACCTGGTCTCTCATCTCTCCATTGAAGCAAGTAAATTTACATGAAGAGTTCGTCTGGATTCTCAGGCTTTGGTACACACTGATCGAAGATCTGTATGACCTCTTCATGACCGTACTCCCTCTGGTCAGACATGAGTGTTCTGAAGAACTTTTGCATCTTCGGACCAGGTTTAGCATCTATGCAACGAGTGGGTCTCATTGACATTTTTGTCACTTTTATTTGGTCGAATGGAAGGATTCGAGTTCATGCCACTTGACAGCAAAGAAGGTGCAGAAGAGGTTGTTGTTGCTGCATTCTATGCGAGCTCACACGTTGACGCATTCCGAACTTACCAGGATGACCTCGAAAAAGAAGGTCGAAAGCTTGGAAAGATCCAAATGTTGCTTGAGTTCTTCCGTGGAAACCTTGCACAGAAGTATGAGAAGAAAGAATAAACAACTAATTATTACTGAGCTTAGCTCATAAATGTAAGTTTTTACTCTGATCAGATCTTAGATCTCGTCGGGACAAGCGGAAAGGATAAAGTCCATGAGCTGGACTTTTGTCTTAGTGAGCGGTACTGCGGTCATGAGTAGTTCGCGCTTGTTTGAGCCACTTGGAACGCGACCCTTCCAATTCCTCATAGATCTCAAGGCAGAGATCGTGAAGAACTCAAGGACAAAGAGTCTTTGAGACTTGGTAAGGAATCCCTCATCATCTCTTTCATCCTGGAGGGTCTTTGTGGATGCAGTGGACTTGATCTCGTCTTCCTCGATCGGATCATTCTCATAATCTTCATCACCCTTCTTCCTAAACGTCATCTGCTCTCTCTTGTAGTCGTTCCTGAGAGCATTGAGTCCAGCTTCAAGATCTTGTGAGTTCTTTGCAGGTTTATTGAAAGTTTTCTTTTCCTGCATTTGCTGTATAAGCTGGGTTTGCTGTTGCATCATCTGCATCATCATTGCCATCATATCTAGTGTTGGTGATGCTGGAGCTGGTGTTGTACCATCTTGGGACATTCGGTCGTCGGTTATGTCTTTACAAAAGACTGCTTTACAAAAGACAGCTTTACAAAAGACTGCTTTACAAAAGACAGCTTTACAAAAGACAGCTTTACAAAAGACAGCTTTACAAAAGACAGCTTTACAAAAGACAGCTTTACAAAAGACAGCTTTACAAAAGACGTCTTGACAAAAGACAGCTTTACAAAAGACTGCTTTACAAAAGCATTTTCTCACAAAATTGAATACTTTTGCTTTACAAAAGACGTCTTGACAAAAGATTGCTTTACAAAAGTCTGCTTTACAAAAGACGTCTTGACAAAAGATTGCTTTACAAAAGTCTGCTTTACAAAAGATTGCTTTACAAAAGATTGCTTTACAAAAGTCTGCTTTACAAAAGACAGCTTTACAAAAGATTGCTTTACAAAAGCCATGACTGATCTTCATCCAATTTGTTTAATCGAACTTAATGAAGTAATTTCTGCATATCTCCTGCATGTATTTGGAAACGAGAGGATAAGACAACTCACCAAGGTTTCCAGACGCCAGATCCAAAGACTTGAATCAACTGCAGGAGTAATCCTAAGCTTTGAAGAAGGATTAACCAATAAGAAAGATGTCATTGACTCCAAGCGTGAAAGCCTTGCTGCTTTCTTACGCAAACACCCATGGGTCGATGTTGATCTCCAAACTCCTTACCAAGGACTCGTTGAAACCTTCACGACCTACAGACAGCTCCTTGACAGACCTGAGCAGAACCTTCTGGTCGAACGTGATGGCACATTAAGCCCTACAGACGAGTCAATCCAGAGAGAAGAAGCTCAAGAGTAAAAATCTGACATTTATACTTTACATGACATTTTTTTCATGAGTGTTCACGTTAAGATCAATGATGAAAACATGACTTCATGGGAAGATATCATTGATGACATAGAGAATGACCTTGATGAAAACATGATGGGAGCTCAAACGTCAGTTAAGGTCAAACTTGGTGAAGTTCAAGAAAAGATCTCCGAGATCAATGCAAAAATATCTGCTCTTACAGAGGTTGACGTTTATTACAGAAGCTTGGAGAGAACTTTAAGCAAACTTGAACGTCAGAACCAAAGTCTCATAGTTGTGCTCCAGAAACTCAGTCTCATGCGTAAAGCATATAATGACTACCTACATGTAAGAGACTTACCTTCTTATTCTACTCCAGATCTCGACTTTTCCGATATAAGTCCAATCCTTATTGATACAACACTTACGATAGCAGGGATGCTTCCTACATATCCAGAATATGATAACTTACCTCAGCTCTTCGAGTATCTCAAGAAAAAGTTCATGATCTTATTATGCGAGACCATGAAAAGACGTCAAAATACCAGAACAGAACGAGAACAGAGCTTACTAATAGACTTATTATATAATACTAAAGAAATAAAGGAGTTTTTATTCTAACTTTGGTATTTTTGGGAAGAACTGATCTGGATCATATTTGTCAACCACAGGTTTTGGTATCAAAAGTCTCTCTGGTTCTTGGACGGCTGGTACTGGAAATGGTTCCTTTGGTTTCCTAGCTTTTGGGAGATCTAAAAATTTTCTTGGTCTCTTTCTTTTGTGTAAGTGTTGTCCATTTTTATCGACAACGAATGTGAGCTTTCCGTCGTCAAAGATGAATGTCGTCGCTTCTTCAGTTCCCTCATCAACTATTATCTTCTTGATCTTTCTCTTCTCCATTAACAGAAAAAGTGACATATATTACTTCATTTTTTTCTGAGTGTTAGGATTAATTAAACCTCTATCTATAACATGCTTTCTCATAGAAAATTTCTCTCCATATCTTTTTGTCAATATCTCTAAAGTTCTTCTGTATAAGATTTATCACTACTGAAGTAAATAGATGGATAATTAAGGACATCAAAGGTTTCTACAGTATCTTTAAGAGTCCATTCATCTCCATACTGTATAGAATAAGTATGGAAGTATGGAGGATCACATATAAAGAAAACATTGGGAAGATCTTTATACTCATTGAAGAGTATTCTCCAATCTTTATGAACAATAGTTAAACCTTCAAGATAGTCATCTATGTTTTCACCAAATAAGTTAGTATATCTGAGGTATAACACTTTCTTCATTAATGTGTCAAGATCATAGTATTTGTATGCTCCAGAATAGAGAAGACGTGAACATAATGTATCCCAGTCTATGTATGGAGCTTTACTTATAACTTCTCTGACGATCTCTTTCTGATCAGTAGGAATTTTCTCATCTGGCTTAACATTTATTCTCTCCTTAAGTTCCTTAAGTATTTCATTCGTGTCATGAATGTGTTTCAGTCTATCAACGTAGTTATCATAGTCGTTAGCTATGATCGTTGCTTTTGGGAACATAATATGCAACAGATGAGAGATATAGAGAGAACCACCAAAGAGGTCAACGAAGACATAATCCCCTTTGATGTCTTTGAGTATGTCGATAAGATCTTTCCTGATCTTCGACTTATTACCTATGAAAGGTAAAGGAGGTTTGGTAAAAATCATTTATATGGTAATAAAAATAAGTGTTTACTTGAGACAATAACCTCTGTTGAGTTTGTAGAACAAGATCAGAAGTACGATCAAGTTCAAAACAACACAAATGGCTAGGATTGCGTTACCAACAATCTTTGTCTTTTCCCAGCAAGACTTCTTCTTTGGTTCATGTGCTGCTTCGACATCACTGTATGGCTCGGACATTAACTTAAAAAGTGTCATGACCACTTCATTTTTGATGAAGTCAACAGCTTATGTCCACTTCCTCCCACAAGCACTTGAGGACAAGAGAAGGTCATCATTGACTACCTTCAAGCCACTGAGAAGCTCCAAAAGCTTCAAGATCTCCGCGAAGAGTTCAAGTCCCGCTTGAAACAGGAGAACTTACTGCAGGATACATGCTCATTTTGTACCCATTACTAGATGGCTCCCATTTACCATCAGAGTACACTGCAGCTCTTGATGCACTCAAAGATCTTCGCGATCACCGTCCGATCGGTAAAGAAGCCTTCGAGCTCACCATTGAGCAAGCCATCCTCGCCAAGTACAATGCAAAGAAGCGGATGCTCGAAGCTCTTGATAAGATCAAGGAGTACGTCGAAACGTTCTAAAATAATTACTTGAGTAAACAATAAGTTTTATTGAGTAAGTCTTGAAACATTTGTGCTTTTGTTCTTGTTTGAACAACCATATTTAACATTAGATAAAAAATTTTTTGGTTAAACAATAACATACTTAAGACATAAATTATACCTACTTATTAACTCAGTATATTGTGCATTATATGCATACTTAAACTCTTGAGCAATATTGTTCTCATCAATGATTCTGATCTGAGCTATTTTTGAGAAAGGTGGTGGAATACCACAACATGTGATGTCTGGGTCCAGTAGGTCTATTTCACACTTGAACCCAGTCATTCTGTGAACAACTTCTTCCAAGTCTGGCTTAGGTAGTAAGATCTGATCTTTGCTCACTAAGTTAGAAAAGAGCTCTTTGTCTTGGTCTAGAAGTATCTTCTGGTATATACTAAGTAAATACTCTTCTACACCAATCCTCGATGAAGTCTCCACAGATCTCGATGAGGTCAGGTTGGAAGTTAATGGACTTAAAGGAGGAGGATACATTGGTGCTTCTGAGTTCGTAGTTGTTTCCTCTTTTTTTATCTCTGTTGGAGCATCACTTACTGTACCAGATGGATAGTTCTTTATCACAATGTTATTAGTTGTTCTTGAATCAACATTGCTTGTTGGTTCAATTGGAAGATTAGCTGCACCATAAAGAATTGACTTCGATCTCATTTGTTATGAGTAAAAATTGTTTTATTCTCATATAAATGACGAACATTAACCCAGAGAACAACACAGAATATACTGCAACAGGAGTTGTTTA